TATTCATTCAAAATATTAGAGAAATATAGAAGCTCAATGCGGAGAAGTTGAATGGGTTAAAACCGAAACCAAGCCATTTACACAACGCATATTCAGCGCATTTTTTAGACGGACAAATATGACTGCTGCACTCGCATCTCACAGAATAGATGTAGCCATGCAAAGTTAAAACAGTTTAAACGTTTAGAAAACAAGTCACGAATTTGTGGAGGTTTATTCCTTTTCACTGCGTCTCATATGTTTTTAAATGCAGTCTGTGTGAATGGTGATTCGGCTCTTTGTATAAAGCAATGCATAAATACATGATGCTGTTTTGTTCATAATTGTTTATGCAATTTACCAAATTATATTTGATTTTTATGAGTTAATTTAGACATACTGCACGTTTTTTTTTATAGAGTTACTTCCTTGCGTTGACAATTTAAATGCGCTGCATTATTTTGCTCATTGCGCCCTCCTGTGGCCTCGGGAGACAAGCCAAAAGTTTCCTTAAGACCTATTTAATCTGCATATAAAGCATTAGAAATTAGATATTTGTTTAATTTTTATTTTGTGTTTGATTGTTAAAACAAAAAATATTTGTTGTTTGACTCAATAAATTGGGTTAATTAAAAAATACAGTGGTTAAATGTAAAAAAAAATTCTATTGCTCTTTGTTTTAAAAAAGGTTATAAAAAATGTAAATAATTATCGATGCTGAACGATATGAAACATTATATCATTGATAAATGATTTAGCTATATCACCCAGCCCTAATTTATATTAATATATACTACAATAGTATATAAAAATAGTAGAATAACACTGATAGAGAATTAATGATGAAGAAATAATATAGGTATTAGCAGTAAAGGTGCAGCTGGGAAGGAAAACGGATGTCGTCTATACTATATCCTTGAGACATCACTGGAAAAAGTGCTTAACTGCCCCCTCAAAAAAAAAAGTCCTTGATGGGCCCAAAAGGCAAAAGGCTTCATGTTGTTCATATAATATATATTCTGAATATATATTCAGATTCTTAGAAAGTCGACCCCATGAGACATCGCATGTAGTTTATATATATATATATATGTGTGTGTGTGCTGCTGTACTGTACCTGCACTGGCCGTTGTGTGTGTCACAGCCGATTTCCAGTGAAGCCACTCCAGGCCTGGAGCAGTTGCACAACTCACACCCCACCAGAGGATGGCATCCAAACGTCTGGGGTTCACAGGTGACACAGTCTGGCTGCAGGGTCCGTGGAGGACAGATGCACTCGCCCGTGACTGGCTCACACAGACGAGTACCACAGTTACATGCTAGAGAGGAAAAGAAAAAATATCAGCCATCCATCCATCAATCCATCGTTCCACCACGTGGTTGGTGATACTCACGTCTACAGTTTGGGAAGCCGTAGTATCCCGTGGCACACTGGGAACAGTCTCGGCCAATCACGTTGGGTCTGCACTTGCACTGTCCTCCGAAGGTGTCGCAGGTATCGCTCTCAGCGCCCACCTCATGACAGCCGCAGGGCACGGCGCCGTTATTGAAGAACGCAGACAGAGACACAGCAGAGTTACGACAGAACGGAGATGCTGTGGACGGGCTGAGAAGAACGAGGAAATGTTAAGATGGAAGGCACTTTAATGTCAGGATATGTTCATGAGCAATATATCTGCACCATATTATCAGCCGTATTAGAGAATAATTTACTGGAATTATCCATTGTTGCATATTTAATTGTGTGTCATTTCCATTTTGGCATTTAAGGTTTTTATTAATTATTTATTTAAAAACGCTCTTTTAAAGTTAGTTTTTAAAAGCACTAATATTTTAATAATACTTAAATGTGATCTTCAGCAAATCTCAAATTAAACATCATACTATACATTACAAAATAAAAATAGTCAAACATCGTGTTTGATGTAAACATAAATTTATTTGTAGCAGTGCTTTTTAGTATTATTAGTATTTTTTTATACAATTATAGTATTCATTAGTAGAATAAATGAGCTTTTATTTTTTTATATTTTCAGTTTTCATTTTCATTTTAGTTTAAGTTTTAATAATTTTGCTATTTTTTATTTCTATCAAGCTTTAATTTAGTTTTATTTCAGATTTAGTTTTAGTACTTCAACTAGTAGTAGCCAAGGAAACATTTCTAATTTCTAAAAATGTTCATCTACAGGTAATATATATATAGATATATATATATCTATATATATATATAATGTTATTTCAGCTTTATTTCAGTTACCTAAAAATATTTTTAATAGTTTTACTTAAGTAAAAATTATTTAAAAAAATAGAAAAATGGTGTGTGTGTGTGTGTGTGTGTGTATTAAGTGTTTTATTTTTATATTTATTTAGACACAATTGAATTGAATTTTAATATCTGCAATGTATTTACTTATTTATGGCCTTTTTTTAGGCCTTAACATGAATATAATTATCATCCAGAATTTTTATCTCGTGCATTCCTACATGTTTACAAATGTATAAGTATCATACTTGATGTAAAAGCTGTTTTGACCACAGTTGCTGATGAAGTCGTAGGATTTGTCCAGTGGCTCCTCAGACAAAAAGCTGGAGCTGTACGTGCTCTCTGGCACCACAAGTACATAGTCCTGAAACACAAAAGAGAAAAAGAAGTGTCATTGTTATTGTCAATTCATATTACCTTCAGTAAAACCTCATAATGACACTCACCAGCCACAGTGTCTTTCTGTCTGGAACACGCAGGGTCAGGATGATCTCATAGTCCGTCACATCCAAGATAATCTGGCTCTCTGACATGACAACACTACGACAACCGTAACCATGGGGACAAAAGGATGCATTGACGTGGCCTGAAATACAAAGAGTGACCATTAATAAACAAGCATGTTCAGTGATAAAAAAAAGAAGAAGTCAATAAGTGAGTCTGTATTCATCTATTTGCTCACCTTGCCATATGCGTCCTCCGTTGATGTGGACCTGGACGTTGTAAGTTGGGTGCAGGGGCTGATGGTAATGCAGGATGAACACATAACGGCCCAGTGCATGTACAAGTGTTGAATAAATTACAGCATTCTGGGAAAGGAAGCAGACAAATACCGGGTTGCGTTTCAGTGTAAACGGAGCAAAACGGAAACTTTTGAAAACGCTGCAGGCTCCGTTTTAGTTTGAAAACTCCGGGGTTGCGTTTCAGTGTAAACGGAGCAAAACGTAGACTTTTGAAAACGCTGCAGACTCCGTTTTAGTTTGAAAACTCCGGGGTTGCGTTTCAGTGTAAACGGAGCAAAACGGAGACTTTTGAAAACGATGGCGTGGCTGCCCACATTCTCTCTGTGTACCCTTGACGACCGTGTAAACAATAACATCATGCTCATTGTTGTACCCATAGATATGTATAGGTAGATACCTCATTCGACCGCTCCAAGCACACAGACGCATCCGCCATCTAAATAATTGGGAATCTACCTATACATATCTATGGTTGTACCTGGATGAATGGTCATGTGACATGCATTTTCGGATGTGAAGTGTAGACGGAGATCGTTTCTGAAACGCAGTGAAAACGCCAGTGTAGACGAGGATCGTTTTCAAAACACCATTTTAAAATGAAAACACACTAGTGTAAACAGGGCTTTAGTTGAAGATTTACATGTTGTACATGTTAGTCACCTGTCTGGAGAGAAGTGCCCATGTGTGTTGATGCAGTGAACTCTGGGCTTCAGGTACTCCATGGTGAACTGAGCGCGAGGGATGAGGAACACTTTGTGCTGGAAGGGAAATCAGACACACACTTGTAAATGGCGTGTTTACAGTGGACACAAATAGCTTTTATGGCAGGTTCAAGAAGAAAAAAACTCTCACAAGGAAAAAACTGCTTCTGTCTGTGGTAAGCAGGATATCGGCCTCTGTGGAGAGAGTGAAGACTGCCACACGCTTCTTGTCATCTACAGACACTGCACGGCACAGGAAACTACAGAATTGTAAATTTGAAGAATTAAATGGTATGCAAAAATCAATGTTTTCTAAAGAATAAAATGGATGAATACGGCAAAATAACTCATTTAAACCTCATTGTGGTTGTGATGTTACATTAAAACATTAAATATGACTCATTTTAATGTACATGCAAAGTGCCTAACCAATCATAAACAATGTCATGTAAAAGTCTTAAAGGTACAGTATCAAAAACAGCATGTTTAATTCTATGAGTCAGACAGAGAGAGTGAAAACTAAATATGACTGTTCTGATGCAAAAAAAAAAAAACTTTGACAAACAGCAGGAATAAAGCTCAGTGTAAAAACCAAAAGTACATATGTGACCCTGGAGCACAAAACCAGTCTTAAGTCGCTGGCGTATATTTGTAGAAATAGCCAAAAAATCATTCTATGGGTCAAAATTATCGATTTTTCTTTTATGCCAAAAATCATTAGAATATTAAGTAACGATCATGTTCCATGAAGATATTTTGTACATTCCCTACCGTAAATATATCAAAACTTAATTTTTGATTAGTAATATGCATTGCTAAGAACTTCATTTGGACAACTTTAAAGGCGATTTTCTCAGTATTTTGATTTTTTTGCACCCTCAGATTCCAGATTTTCAAATAGTTGTATCTCTGCCAAATATTGTCCGATAACCATACATCAATGGAAAGCTTATTTATTCAGCTTTCAGATGATGTATAAATCTCAATTTAAAAAAAATTTACCCTTATGACCGGTTTTGTGGTCCAGGGTCACATATTATGACCCCTTCAGGTTGAGTGTGAATACCTGAAACAAAAGAAAAGGCAAATGTTGCAATGTCACACAAACACACCTGTATTTGCAGTGGAGCAGGATTATTTGCTCTTGATGAGTGCTTTCACCCGGTGAATTAATGGACACATTGAAAGTTTGAGGGAACTGATCTTCACTGGCGTACTCGACCACCAACACATACTCTCCAGGAACAGGAACACGACCACGCAGCTGGACGTTCATCTGAACACACAAACAGGATTTCATTTGTATAAAAAGATGACTTTTATGTATTTATACACTACTGTTCAAAGGTTTGGGCTTAGTAAGACTTTTTAAATGTTTGGTCACTAAGGCTGCATTCATCCGAGTCAAAATAGTTTGAAATATTATTACAATTTAAAATAAATGTTTTCTATTGTAATATAATTTACAATGTCATTAATTCCTGTGATGTAGAGCTGAATTTTCAGCATCATTACTCCAGTCTTCAGAGTCACATGATCCTTCAGAAATCCTTCTAATATGGTGGTTTGCTGCTCAAGAAACATTTATTATTATTAATGCTGAAAACAGCATCTTACGTCATTGCCGCTGCAGATGGCCATGCTGGGATGGCGGGGAGTGATCTTTTCAATGTGGCAGGGTCTGGGCAAGTGATTATCAGACCTGCAGTTGGCATCATTGCTGGATATGGATGGGAACTCATCCAGAGACAGATACATGTACTGCAGACAGCTGAACACACCAAAAAACAGATTAGTTCAGTCACAGTGCATATAACAGGCATACACACATGATATATGTACACAAAAAGTTGCTGTGCAACTGACTTTTGACTGGAATCCTGTGTGTTGCTGTATGAACAGGGTTCAGTCACTTGAAGTTGCAGGATAGGAGCCTCGTAATATGCACTGGGCAACAGCACCAGGTAGTCCTGCAGAGAGAAAGAGACAGAGAGAGTGTATTTAGGGTTTGTTCATGTAGTAATAATGTTGAAAGCATCTTTAAGAGGGGGTCCTACCAGCAGAATGCCCTCCGCCTCAATAATCACAGTCCAGGTTCCTGGGTTCAAGACAAATGGCTCCACAAAACTGTTCTGAGGCACACTCACAAATGTAGGTTCTGAAGTCGGTGCAAAGACGATCTGCTTGGACTGCTCAGAGCCTGCAAAGAGAAGGATGTAATCCTGTTTTATTGGGGATGGAGTTACAGCATCGGATGAATCAATAAAACTTTGAAGTTACATATTTATAAATGATTAAACATTATCAACATATCAATTGTTGTACTCAAAGAATAGTTCATTTATAAATAAAAGCTGTCTTCATTTACTCATGAGGACTTTCTTTTTTTTCTGTGAAACACAAAAGGAGAAGTTTAGCAGAATGTCCGAGCTGCTCTTTTCCAAACAATGAAAGCAAAATGGGATGGAAGAATTCTATTCAAACTCTAAAAATGACATAAAAGCACTAGCAAATTAAAATGGAGTAAAGATTTGATATCTATTAAAACTAATTTGAACTGCTTCCATATGATTAGACTTTATATAACTATTACAGTAGCCAAGTCAAACAATAGTGTATGTATATTCAGATGTTGGAAGTAATAGTTTACAAGTCAATGAAATGGCATCATTACAAAATAGAAAAAAAACGTTTACTTAGTTTTATACATTATGCATTTTTTTTATTAATTTTTAAATGCGTAAATAACTTAGCTTCTGAAATTTTGTAAATTAATACCAAAACAGGAGGAAAGGGGAATTACTATGCAACAAGTTATATCTGTAGCATATCAAGACATTAAACAGCTTTTGGAGTACAGGAGTAAAGAAGTACAGTTATAGAATAATTTATCAATAGAATTTAAAATATAAACAGAATTTTAAAAAAAATACAGCTATAAAAAAAGCTATTTATTTTGTGTAATCGTTTATTTAGTTAAAAGCTTAATCAGGGACACATGCAGCAAATTAGCTATTATTAGCTAAAATAATAAATACAGAGCATATAGAGCAACATTGTTATTCTCTATTATTCAATCAAATAAAATTAAAACTAAAATAAGTAAAATAATAAAATAAGGTGAAATTCATATGTCTCGATGAAAATGTTGCCCTTTGCTCTATGTACCAATGGCGTAACCATTATAAGCCATAGAGACCGATGCTTGTTCGAGTACAAAAAGAGCAGCTAGAACAGTCTGCTAAATCTCTCCTTTGGGTTCACTGAAAGAATGAAAGTCTTGCACATCGAACCGTCAGACGTACCTCTTCTGCTGTTCTGATAGGCTGTGATTTTACCGTTCGACATGGCCAACCTCGTGTTTACATATCTGAGGATGAAGCGCGTGAGATACACGTCTGCTTCACGCACGTGCACCATCATTTTAACCGTATTCTGAGATGAAGGACAAGGAAGACAAGGAGAAAAGGAGAGAGAGGGAAAGAGGAGGGGAGGGTGTACAGCACATAACACGGTCTGTGTTAAAGACCTGAACTGTGGCTTTCTGATCAAGATGGGTGTGATCATGTGATAGATCTGAGATGCTGGTTGCGCTGAGAGTGTGTCTTGGACACGGGGAGAAGAGGGAGGGTTTGTGAAGAAAGCAGGAAGTCACCAGCTCGGAGAGCAAAGGATTTAAGTGAGGAAGGTAGAAAGATAGAGAAAAGTAGATCATTAAAACAGAGGGTGCTCAAAAACTTACAATTCCCACACAGGAAGTGTCTGCCATCCTCGATCACAGAGACCCGCCCCCTCACGTCCACGCCCCCGCGGTTCACATAGTGCAAGACCACATGAAACAGGTCTGGAGAGCCAACCACCACCTCAACCAGAACCCGAGGCTAGAGAGCAAAAGAATGGCCCACAACAGACAGACACAGACAGAAAGAGAGACAAATGCAAAGCTGTTGCTCAAAACCACCACCAACCAGCACAACAGCCCAACACAGCAGCCAATGAACGCAAGCAGCAGCAATCCAAAGCCGTGATCAAAGCCCTCAGCCAAGCCAAAGACAGCGCATATCATTCACACAACGCAACGCTACATCTCAGTCTAATTTTACACACATGCATCAACTTGAACATCGTGAATATCTACAAAATGATTAAATAAATTGAACTTTCAAACAGGTAATATTTATTCACAGTTCTATTATAATTAATATTATAGTTTTCATAGTATCTTCAACATTAAACAGTATTCATAACCTATTTTACTTCTGTAATGTGACACATTTCTGAGTGAAAAAGGATATCCAACAAGAAAAAAACTTAATACACAAATTGCTATAACACATTGTATGTAATGATAATATTAATAATAATGTTATTTTAAGTGTTTTTATAGATTTGATATAGATTTATTATTATTACTATTATAAATATTAACAATATTAATAAGAATTATAATTATTGTTGTTTTTTATAATTTTATTATAAGTATTATATATAATACAATTATCAGATTGTTATTATTAGCAATTTGTTAATTTTATTATTATTAACCACTCAATAATGTTGTTGTTTTATAGCTTTTTCATCATCATCATTATTATTATTATTAATAATATTGCCATAAGTATAATAATAATTGTTGTGGTCGTAGTTGTTTATTATTAATATTATATTATTATTATTATTATAACAATGTTATTGTTATTATAATTCTAGATGATTATTTTTAAATAGTAGTAATAATACAAATAATGATTATTAATGTTGATGTTATTATAATTTATAATCAATATTATATATTGTATTATTACTATTATCATTATCATTAACCATTCAATGATGATGTTGTTACAATTAAAAATATATATTATTATGAATTATTAGTAATAATATTAACAACAACAATAATAATTTATAGCAATAATCAATTGTTATTACTACTCTTGTTGTTGTTATTATTGTAGTTTTTTATTATTACTATTACAGAATTATTATTCTAACAATTTGTTGTAACTATTATTATTTACCATTCAATAATGTAATTTAAAAAATAGATTTCAAGGTGCAAATTTTACGTGTGTTTGTGTACCTGTATGGGAGACATCTGGGCATATCCCCTCCAGCTGAAGCTCTCAAACTCCAGAGGATTGTAACCAAACCTCACTGGACGTCCATCCATGGTGGTGCCTTCCTCCACTTCAGACTTCATATGGTGCAGGTCTGGGAAATAATGATCTGACCGAGGTCTAAACAAACACACCAGAGTCATGACAGAACCCCACACAAACTGCACACTGCTATATCTGTATGTGCTTTTTCTTGTCACTCACTGGTTGCATTTGGGTCCCTCCACATTGGGTCTGCATCGACACCGCCCGTGCCTCTCATTACACGCCTGCCCAACAGAGCCTCCAATATCACACTGGCAGCCTAGATGCACAGGGGCGAGAGTTTAACCCATTTCTTCACTTGAGTATTTAGAATGTCTGCTTGGATTTGATTATGTACCTTGGCACCCAAAGTAGTTGTTCTTCTGAAGGCTGAAGTACCCATCCTTGCACACATTACATGTGCCGCTGCACACGTTGGGTTTACAGTAACACTGGCCGGTGCTCTGATTCAAAGACAGATGGAGGTTTGTTAACTATGCTCTTGGAATTGAATTTGTAAGATGGAGTTATCACTGATATTTCCATACCTGAGTGCACTCTGCAACCTCACTCATAGTTCCTAATGTATTACAGTCACAGCCTGCAAAATCAATCATAATATACATTAGCAGAGATATATAATGTTTCATTTTCTATACAGCTTAACTAACAAGCTACATATTTGAAAACTGCCCTGTCACTAGAGTCTGATTTGCCACCAAAGCGAACAAAATGGCAGTCTTTTGTTTACATGTTGGCCCAATTATTTAAAATGACATTTTGCGCTGTGTGTCCAAACTTTTCTCTTACTTGAGCATCCATAGACTGTATGGAGAGAAAGATTCCAGTAGAGAGGCTTACAGCGATCACACGCCACCCCCTCCACATGAGGCCGACAGTTGCAGGAGCCCTGAGGAATAAAAAAAACAAGCACTGAGAGTCTGGAATAGGAATGAAAGTTTGTAAAGACTGTGACTGATCCTCATTTAAAGCGGTAGTTTAAAAAAAAATCTATGTAAAAGATATGAAAAGGTGTGTCCAAACAAAATCTTGACTCTGTCTACTGAATTGCTACATACTGCACTCTGTTGTTTCACATAATCTTTTGATACGTTCACGAAATATTCAACATATTATGTGCAGTATATAGTATGATATGCACAATATAACAACATGAATAATTTACAGCACAATATGCATGAACCATTCTGAACGTAGCCATGTTTAATGTAGAAAGCTCCGTTATACTCACCACAGTGGGCAGGATGTCATTATGAACAGAGCCTGCTGGGTTGCAGGTCCCGACTAGAGCACAGAGAGGGAAAGAAAACCATCAGAACTACTTCAAATGAATTTAATATACAGGAACATGAATATTGTTTAAGTAAGATCACCTTGGCAGAGGGGAAAGCCATATGACCCAGGACTGCAGCTATCACACCTCTGACCCACAATGTTTGGCAGACAAACACACTGACCAGACACTGGATCACAGGAGCTGAAGCGAGAGCCCTCCAATGAACAACGACATGCTGAAACAGAGAGATTTCAATGTAAAATCACCTGTTACCACAGGTAATGTTGGCCTGTGATTAGAGTCATGTGACTTACGTGTGCAGCTGGGATAGGAGTAATATCCGGGTGCACATTGGTCACATTTGGGGCCACTGTAGTTGGGTCTGCAGTTACACTGACCCGACAAGGTACAGCTGGAGTCCAAAGATGTGCGAGGGTCACAAGTGCACACTGGGAAATTGAATCCAAGTAGTTATAATCGAGATGATACAGACAGTGTATCTGCAAACATCAGACTGAGCCTTTCTTTAATGTATTAAATCACTGTGTGTGTGTCTCACCCTGGCAGTTTGGATATGAGTGGAACCCTGAGCGACACTGATCACAGCGAGGACCAGTGAACTCCGGCCTGCACAAACACTGACCGGCTGTGTTGCATATCTCAGGCATAGAGCCCACAACACTGCAACCGCAATCTACAGACAGAGAGAGAAATAAAATTGAATCAAATGTTAATAGTTTTGAAGTCAACAAGAAATGCTTTTGCAATCCATTATACTTCTGTAATGTGGAAAAGGACATTTAATGAGAATGTTAATGTTCAATATTGACCAACTTGCATAGTAGACACAATTTTGCCTGAATGATTCAGAATTTTTAAGCAAATATTTTGAATAAACATTCATTGACATTAAGTTTTGTTCCTGAATAATTGAGTTTTTGAAGAAATCAATTCGGATAGGTCAATGATTCAATGACTCACTTGTAAAGACAGTCCCTTTTTTGTTCCTAAATTAATCAATGTTTTTGAACAAATCTATTTATTTGAGAGAATGATTCAAATTATTCACTCATAAAGACAGTCACTTGTTTCATTTCAGAATGAATCAGTATTTTAAAATAAATCAGCTGAGTGAACAATTCAAATGACTAATTCATGAAGACAGTCACTTTTTTGTTCCCGAATGAATATTTTTGAACCAATCAGTTTATTAAAAGATTAAATGACTTTTTTGAGGCAGTCACTTATTTTGTTTCTGTCACTTGTTTTGTGAATCAGTGTTTTTGAACAAATCAGTTAAGTAACAGATTCAGTAACTCATGAAGACAGTCACTTGTTTCGTACCTGAATGAAACAATGTTTTTGAAAAAAATCAACTTGGTCGAGTGAATGATTCAATGACTCACTTATCAAGACAGTCACTTGTTTTGTTCCTGAATAAACCAATGTTTTCAAACTAATTTATTTGGTTGAGAGAATGATTCAGTGAACTCGCTCATGAAGACAGTCACTTGTTTCACTTCAGAACAAATCAGTGTCTTTGAACGAATTGGACAAGTGAACGATTCAAAGGACTCAGTTATACAGACAGTCACTTGTCTCCACCTACTGGTGTAATGATGTAAACTGCAGAAAGAGTCACTGAAAAATCTCCACCATTAATACACACACTTACAGTCTGTAAATGTGCAAACAGACAAGCAGAGTGAAAAGTCATGCCACTTAGCCAATCATATTGGTAATATCAACCAATCAAGTTACTACATTTCATAATGTGCACTGATAAATCAAATGCAAAGAGACCAAGAATGTGTGTTAAGAAAGTAAATAGGGTCAATTAAAAATTCAAGTTGACCTTAATCAGAGCAGTAAAAGAACAGAAAACAGTTATTGTGGCTGCACTGTAAAGTTCATGGTTTGGCAGCACTCATGGGGAATTTTGAAGTTTAGTGAGATTAGAGTTGGCAAGCACTCACATTGGCACAGTGGGTAGTTGAAGTAGCCGGGCGCACACTGCTCGCATGAATAACCCTGAAACCCGCTCCGACACACACACTGGCTCGTTAGTGCATCACAGGACCCATCCAGGCAACCCTGGCCTGAACACTGACAGCCTGGGGGGAAGGGAGAGGAACAAGAATGTGGGCATGTTTGCATTGCCTTTGTCATTGGGTGGTATATTGTGCTCACAAAACACTCCAACTATGTGCAAGATCAACAGCAGTTCAGCAGACAGACAAACACTGATGCAACAAACTGCATGTGTTTGCTCAGATGGACCTGTCACCTGCTGTAGTGGATTACACAGGAAAGACAAAAATGGGCAGAATGGGACAGCTGATATGATCTGGGACTTAATGAAATGACAAACATCTTTATACTAACATTAAAGATTCACTGTAATTAACTCAGTCACAATTATAAGAGCCATAAAACGTGCTTACGCTGACAGTTGAGGCCGAAGTGACCAGGAGCGCAGGTGTCACAGTGTTCTCCGGTGAATTCAGGTTTACACACACATGTATTGGTGTGAGGGTCCGGCCTACAGGAGTTCCCTTCTGTACCTGCAGCGCTGCACTCACAGTCTGCACAACACAAGAACGTAATAAAATGTATGAGAAATCAGTGAATGAGAATAAGAATCAAATCTGATTCAAATCGAGATGAATCAAAGTGAATCAAATCAAAGTCTTACTAATGATTTCCCCTGCAGGTCTGGCCTCTCCACTGATGTACCTCTCTGACAGAAAAAAACACAAGCAACTGTATAATAAACAACAAGAATTTCTTTACACATATATATACTAAATATTTCTTTGATAGCTGTTTAGAGATAATTATCCACACTGGATGAATTCAACTGAAATATACTGCCTGAAACCTTCATGAATGCGTCAAAGATACACACACACACACACAGAGACTTACGGTAGCATTCAGGGAAGCCTTCGTATCCCTCCGCACATGTGTCACAGTTCTCACCGGTGTAGTTGGGTTTACAGTAACAGCGTCCGGTCAGGTCCTCACATGTGCCGTCAGTGAACTTAGACTCACACTGACACTCTGCAAAACACATGAGAGAATCAGAGAAAACCAAAACATGCTTCTTCAATATCTACAGATCATTTAAATGTAAGGTAGGCAGTAGTGTTGTCAAAAGACCCAGTACTTCGGTACCAAGTCAGTACTAAAAAAATTAAAATGTTACAGTACCAGGTTTTTTTAAGTACCGGTGGTACCGAGTACCCGGTCAACCCGGTTCTTGATGCGCTATCCGAAAGGTGCGCAGATGCGCTCTCTTCATAAAAGCACTGAGACATGGCGACCTCAAAATGAGGAAACACACCAAACTAACAAAACACTTTAAAGACAGACACCCGGATCAAATGAAAGCGTTCAAGCAGGTAAGTTTCATTTAAATTTTTCAGTATTTCCCATACATTGATTTATTTGTGGCGCCCGCCACAATATCAAAACTGACCGCCACAAATAGATTTTCCAAAAGGCTTTGACTTCGTTGAATAAACATGAGCACTGCACGTGTCAAAGTCGAAACCCGGTGCGGGTGTTTTTATATCACTGTATTTCTGAGTTGAAGTAGCCGGGCGCACACTGCTCGCATGAATAACCCTGAAACCCGCTCCGACACACACACTGGCTCGTTAGTGCATCACAGGACCCATCCAGGCAACCCTGGCCTGAACACTGACAGCCTGGGGGGAAGGGAGAGGAACAAGAATGTGGGCATGTTTGCATTGCCTTTGTCATTGGGTGGTATATTGTGCTCACAAAACACTCCAACTATGTGCAAGATCAACAGCAGTTCAGCAGACAGACAAACACTGATGCAACAAACTGCATGTGTTTGCTCAGATGGACCTGTCACCTGCTGTAGTGGATTACACAGGAAAGACAAAAATGGGCAGAATGGGACAGCTGATATGATCTGGGACTTAATGAAATGACAAACATCTTTATACTAACATTAAAGATTCACTGTAATTAACTCAGTCACAATTATAAGAGCCATAAAACGTGCTTACGCTGACAGTTGAGGCCGAAGTGACCAGGAGCGCAGGTGTCACAGTGTTCTCCGGTGAATTCAGGTTTACACACACATGTATTGGTGTGAGGGTCCGGCCTACAGGAGTTCCCTTCTGTACCTGCAGCGCTGCACTCACAGTCTGCACAACACAAGAACGTAATAAAATGTATGAGAAATCAGTGAATGAGAATAAGAATCAAATCTGATTCAAATCGAGATGAATCAAAGTGAATCAAATCAAAGTCTTACTAATGATTTCCCCTGCAGGTCTGGCCTCTCCACTGATGTACCTCTCTGACAGAAAAAAACACAAGCAACTGTATAATAAACAACAAGAATTTCTTTACACATATATATACTAAATATTTCTTTGATAGCTGTTTAGAGATAATTATCCACACTGGATGAATTCAACTGAAATATACTGCCTGAAACCTTCATGAATGCGTCAAAGATACACACACACACACACAGAGACTTACGGTAGCATTCAGGGAAGCCTTCGTATCCCTCCGCACATGTGTCACAGTTCTCACCGGTGTAGTTGGGTTTACAGTAACAGCGTCCGGTCAGGTCCTCACATGTGCCGTCAGTGAACTTAGACTCACACTGACACTCTGCAAAACACATGAGAGAATCAGAGAAAACCAAAACATGCTTCTTCAATATCTACAGATCATTTAAATGTAAGGTAGGCAGTAGTGTTGTCAAAAGACCCAGTACTTCGGTACCAAGTCAGTACTAAAAAAATTAAAATGTTACAGTACCAGGTTTTTTTAAGTACCGGTGGTACCGAGTACCCGGTCAACCCGGTTCTTGATGCGCTATCCGAAAGGTGCGCAGATGCGCTCTCTTCATAAAAGCACTGAGACATGGCGACCTCAAAATGAGGAAACACACCAAACTAACAAAACACTTTAAAGACAGACACCCGGATCAAATGAAAGCGTTCAAGCAGGTAAGTTTCATTTCATCCCATACATTGATTTATTTGTGGCTGCCCGCCACAATATCAAAACTCACCGCCACAAATAGATTTTCCAAAAGGCTTTGACTTCGTTGAATAAACATGAGCACTGCACGTGTCAAAGTCGAAACCCGGTGCGGGTGTTTTTATATCACTGTATTTCTGATGGAAAACGACTGTCTTCAGAAAATTATGGATGTCATTCTCATTTAATCTTGCCTGCTATGCCTGATAAAGCAGCGTTTGTGAGCTCAGTGCTTATTTGATTACAGCCGTTACTGGGGAAACCTCTATCTCTCCCACTCCAACAGCACCTCCTGATGGCAGAGAATGAATTTGCATATATATGCTGCCACAAATAGAGTGCAAGTCTGTGGGAAACACCGCTTCTGTTATGAATATTATTCAATATTTTAATTTGAATGTCGGATTGAATGAATATCGCTGTTATTAGAGTAGTTAATCGTTTGCATAAGCACGGCTAACGATAATATAATGAGCATTAGAATGAAGTTTCTATATTAACTTTTTAATGCTCCTATAACTTTTATTAGGGTAAAAAAAAAAAAAACGGGAGGACATGATGATATTTACTATTTTTACACACCAGAGGCTTTTAAATGAATTGTGAATCTAAAATATGCGTGTTAGAGAATGTACAAATGATTAATATTGTTTGTGTCATATCAGTCAGAAAAGCAGGTCTGGGCTTTTTTTTTTTTTTAGCTAACTTGCTTGTTATTCTTGGCTGAATAACTCTAGAAGGTTCTAAAAACCCTTTAAACTTAAATATGTACACAGTTTGGATTAAATGAAAGTATAGTCAAATTTTTTAATTAGCATGTTTTGCTTTGGTATCGAAATTGGTACCGAGAACCGTGGATTTTCACTGGTATTGGTACCGAATACTGAAATTATTCCTCCTCCAACACATGAAAGCGCTCCGGCAGACCAGAGACTAACCAGTGACTGCGACACGATGAGAGATGGTGATGGTGGAGGACTGAACGCAGCGCTGTCAGATTATCTCATATCTCATTCACCAGTGAGGAAAAATTACAGTAAAAAGTGCATAATATTACAATAATAAAGCTTTTGAATTTTCGCTCGGTCTGCAATAGTGCAATGGACTGCGCGATCAAATACATATGTTGACAGGCAGGTAGGAAAAGCCTATTGTAATCCTCGGGCCGAGGAATATGATTGGATGAACATTTTATGGTCCTACGCCTTCCACAGACGATATAAATACATATAAATACATTTAGACCACTTAGTGATTGCTTTCAGAATGTGAAGAGACTTTCAACCAGCATAACGAAAAATGTTTTTAAACCAAATCAACTACCCTGTCTTTAAATGCATGCATACAGTTCAACTGTTATTTAAATGTATGCATGACCAGTGCTGCTTTTAACGAAAACGATTAAAAATAATTTCCATTAATTGAAATAGGTGAACATTTTTAAAAAATCATTAGAAATGTTGTTTCGGCAACTAAGAGACAACATTTTTAATTGAAGCAATAAAATGACTAAAATAAAAATAAATGAATGCTAAATAGATCACAGGAGACTCACCTGAACAGGCGAACGGGGACTCAAGAGAATGATCAGGTGATCTGTAATACCCAGGAATGCAGCGCTCACAGTTGATGCCTGTGGTGTGATGCTGTGAAAGAATAAAAATCACCAAAATCATAGAACGTATTTGCTAAAACATCAACAGCTGTTTCCAAACCTAGTGAGTGTGCAACTGACAACCAAAAATGTTGTATGCACTTATTTTGCCCATAAATGCTGTCTAGGTAGGTCTTGAGCCACAGCCAATGCATCCGTACCCCTTTCGTGGTATTAGTGTGTTTGTACACCTGAGCCCACCTGGCATTCGACGCACACTCCTCCGCCGTCGTATTCTCCCTGCATGTTGAGACTGGCTCTCCTCTGATCGATCTCTGGATCATAGTAGCACTCTGATGAGTGTCTGTGGCAGTTACATGCTACAAACACACACACAACACGCTGAGATTAATTAACTCATCTGTCAATGCAGATAGAATAAATATACAAGCATGACAGATATAAACAGGGCAGGACATGCACAAAACACATCAGTGTCCACCTGAAGATTTCAGACTGTCCCCAGGGGAGTGAATGACAGCAGAGAAGGGCAAAAGAAAGAGAAAAGAGAACAGTAATTAGCTAGGAGTGAAGTTAGCATGGGGAAAACAAGAGAAAACTGTGCGGGAATCTTTAGATTGCAGCTGAAAATACAAGTTAAAACATTTATAAATAACATAATAATTGTGTGTACACTTACAAAAATTTACCATGGTGACCAAAATATTAGTTACTACTAAGTACTACAATAGAATTAGTCATTTTGGTATTAGATGTAGCAGATTATAATCAAAAACTAGTTATGATTTCACAATACTAACAAAAATTGCCACTTTGTATAGATGTGTGTGTTTGTATGATGTGTGATTATACAATCGCAGACAAACCTGAACGGGCAATGTGTGACTACAGACCTTATTGAGATCAAAATTTGACAATGAAATGTGATTACAAAGTATTTTTGTCACGATCTCTAGCTGGAGTGCCTGTGAGCTTCGCTAGAGGGCACTCCATCCCAGACTTCTACCACTCCATCAAAGACTTAATTTCCCACAATCCTTTGCCCGGACTTATCAGCACCCACTGTTTGCACCTGTGTCTCATTTACCCTGTCTGCTCACCCTATAGAAGTCTGGTTCAGTTTGTCGTTCTTTGCGAAAGTCTTGTGTATGTCATTGCAGTGTGTACTGTGTATATATTATATATATATATATATATATATATACACATTATTTATATATAAATACACACACATGCATGTATATAGTTAAGAAAAATTGTATTTATATATTAAATATATTTATATATAATATAAATTATACAAATATAAATATATACATGTAAATATTTTCCAAATATATCCTGTATGTGTGTGTATTTATATATACATAATAAATATACAGTATACACAATACACACACATATATTACATAAACAAAAACTTTTATTTTGGATGCGATTAATCATGATTAATCTTTTGACAGTGCTAATTTATTTATTTAAATATTTATTTTAAATAATTGGTTATCATTCTAAAATAAAGCTAATTAAATTTCTGCTTTTAGCCCAGTAGTTTCAGTATTTATGGGTGTAATTAAGAATTATTAAGAATCTATCTATCTATCTATCTATCATTTTTGTGCTATGATTATTTATTTTAAAGTCCATCGGGAATTTCCATAGACTTTCCATACACTTGAATTAGCTGTGATTAGCAAAAACTATTAGGACAAATTCACTATTAAAGCATGAATACCAGCAGGCTCTGATCATGTGTTTTTCCTGTCACACAGTGGAGTCTTTGACAGGACATGCGGTGTGGAATGGCTGTGTTTTGTTAGGGTCCAGTCCACTGACAGCAGGGTGAGGACACCAGACGTGAGATGAAACAGTTCTGTCAGATGAGACAGTCTCTCTGGCTTCACTCAAGCCAGCTCTGCTTACAGATGTGCCATAAACCTCACTGAGGTCTCTCTCCACACAAAAGAGTGGTTTTATATTTGGGAACTCAGAGATTAGATTAGGTAAGAAACAGCGGATATCCAACAATATACTCAAGAGGAAACGTTTTCCAGACTGAAATGGCTCCCAATACACAGATAGACACCCAGAGAGTGAGTCTGAGATCCTCTTAAAAGCATTGTGGGACTATTTTTACAGTGTGTGAGAGAAGCCAGACTGGATTAGTGTCTGTATGAGCTCACAGCAGGCTGGAGCTGTTCACACAGGCTGCCAGCCTCTCTTATTCACACTGACTCTGATGTCTTACTAAAGCAGAGACTACGCTGATCCTAAACGGAAACTATAAACATCCTCATACAATCGAGAATATAAATCAAAACATCTTTGCACAAATAAAACCAATCCGAGGTCTGAAAGGCTAATATGTATTTACATTTCTAAAGGTATCAGGTAGCCACTTTTACTTAGAGGACTAGGAGTGCTCCTTAAAAAATATAATAAATACAATAAATTATCAAATTAATAAATTAATTTTAAAAATTAACTAAATTATGTATAATTATATATAATAATAATGTGTGTGTGTGTGTGTGTATATTAGTGCTGTCAAATGATTAATCGCGATTAATCGCATCCAAAATAAAAGTTTTTGTTTGCATAATATATGTGTATATTTATTATATACTATTATGTACTGTGTATATTTATTATACTTATATAAATACACACACATACAGTAAGTATTTTGAAAATATTTACATGTATTTACATGTCTATATTCATATAATTTATATTATAAATAAATATATTTAATATATAAACATAAAAAAATTCTGAAATATATACATGCATGTGTTTGTATTTATATATACATATATTACATATATATATATATATACATCATTTGAAAGCACTAGTATATATTTATGTATATGTATTTATGCATGTATATATATATATATATAAAACACTTTTTAACTGTTTAAATAGACAAATTCAACCTAAATTTTCCATTTTAAATGTAGTTAAACAACACAATAAAAATAAATAAATACATAAATAAATACATTTAATTATATTAATTACATAAATGAACAATTTAAAATGAATCCCTTTTTTAATTAGACAAATTAAGACTGAATAGTTTTAAAAAAAATTATAAATTAATACATTTATGTTTTTTAATTGACATAAAAGACATTTTAATTAATGTTTTAAATAAGACAATACAATTATATTAAAAAATTGTCAAATTGTCAAAAAAGCAATTGTCAGTTGTTTTACTCTGTCCTTTTGCTAAAGGTATTTCTTTATCCACTTGCCAATAGAGTTATAATGCCACTTTACACCACAAAAATATGGACTATGAGTAGGATGATAGTCACATAGTCTTTTACATTGGTTAGAATGACTCAAGTTTAAACAATAAAAATGGGAGAATGTAGGTAGAGAAACTTGTGATTAAAAGTGTAAAGACAGAGAAAGAGATCACAGTTCCAGACAGAGATCATTCAAGTTTCTGAGTTTGAGTGAAGATATTCTGAACTTTCTGAAAAAGTCACACTCATACTTAGTGATTAAATGTCACGTCTATAAATACATAAAAAAAGAGCACTGTTAGACAGAATAAAGAAAATGCTGTTCTGCAATCAAGAAAGGAAGGCAGAAAAAATCTCCCACAAGAGAGAAATCATGTTTTGAGAACAATGTGTCAAGGAAGGGCCCGGCAGGTACTAAATCTTTGTTTTGTTGGCTCACTGGACGCAGAGAGAGGAAAACTCACGTTCACATTCATTGGCACTGTAAGTCGTGGCTGGTTTCCATGGAAACTGGTTGAAGCCGGTGCAACAGTGATCGCATGACGGCCCGCAAGTGTTGTGCCGGCAGTCACACTGAAGCCTAAGAGACACAGACATAAAAGACAAATCACAGGTTAACAACCAAACACAATCACACAAGTTTATACCTTAAAACCTAAAACTTGCTGTATGCGTTTGAGATATTTGAGCAATTTTCAAATATAACTCATTCTTTTGTTATATTTATGGGAAGAATATGCATATGTTATGTATATTTATTCTGTTAATTTTTCAGAACAGAATTGTATAATGAATTTTATATAGAAATTCCCACTTGTCTTCTTTCTGTCTCAATCTTGAGGGGCCACTATATGCAAATACAAAAGTACTTCATGTCTATGGGCCTCAAATGAGCCACACAAGAGCTTTTATTCAAGTGTCTAAACTTCTCACTGACCTTGCTGCTTCCAGGAAAAGAATGAATTAGGGAGAGAAAACGAGAGAGTCTTTAAAACCTGAGAGTCTGAACGGGTTAAGTTCTTCACGCTCGCTAAATTTTCCTCCATCATCTGAAAAGCTAACAGAATTAACTGAGACTCAGTGGTCTGCTCATGTGTGGCTGCATTCACACGTTGCATTCACACATGTATCATCATAAATCTACACAGCAGACAGTAAACAACTGCTACATGCATTACATATGCCATATTCATACAATCAAATGATAATCATTAATAATGACCATCAAACAGTAACAAAAAAGCATTTATAGATTTCTAAGAATTAACTATTAATTAATAAAGCATATTGGTGGTTAATTCACACAAGCTGCTTATTTTTGCTAAAAATTGTACATTTTCTTATGAATCAAATGATAAAAATTCATACTAAATCACCAAATCGTAAAATAGTTGCATGTAAGAGCAGTGGCATGTGACCAAAAGCGCAATTCTAATTGGTTAACCCATTTTCTTTGCAGTGCGATGGGAAAGAGAGTAATAATTTGTTGCATTGACTGCATGTGAATATTTGTATGGGTCTGAAAAGATTGAATGGATGCTGTTCCCTTAAATTAAAATGTTTATCGCACTGAATTTTCGTACCAAACATTCGTCTTGGTGTGAACTGGCCTTAAAGGGATAGTTCACCCAAAAATGAAAATACTGTCATTAATTACTCACCCTCATGTCGACCTTCGTTCATCTTCGGAACACAAATTAAGATATTTTTGATGAAATCCGAGAGCTTTCTGACCCTGCATAGACAGCAACACAACTACCACATTCAAGGCCCAGAAAGTTAGTAAGGACATCGTTAAAGTAGTCCATGTGACATCAGTGGTTCAACCTGAATTTTATGAAGCTACGAGAATACTTTTTGTGCGCAAAAAAATTTAACTTTTTTTTTTTTGGGTGAACTATCCCTTTAATGGAGGATAACATCCATAAGAAGTCTTAAAAATTAATCACAAATAAAACTTCTGATATGTTCACTCTCATCAGTTTCGACAATGATCCATCCAGTCTTGCAAATAAACACAGGCAAAACACAGACTTTTCACTCACTCATTTGTGTACTAATGAGTGCACACATATGGAAGGACGCACATTTGCACTCAAGTGTGCATTTTAGTTTACCTGAATCTGTTTGGATGGTTCAGCTTGAGCGGCAGTTTAACCCTTCATTAACACCCAGTCACAGTCAGAGCAAGTGTTCTAGAGCCTCACTTCAAATGAGCTACAGCCAACCATCCACAGTCTATTAACCCTCCACTGCCCTCTAGATCTTCTCTAAGACTTTAACACACATGCCTGAATGTCTTAAGCTTCAAATTCAGCTAACAGCATGGAAGAAGTTATCTCACTACACAAATCTCCCCATAAATCAACCGCACACTGACATCAGTTTAACTCTTGATACCTGTGGGGCAAACAGGTGCACCTGGGAAGCTTAGGTGGAGCACGCTTTAGTAATTGACCTCTGACCTTCAGCGTCTGACTCATTCTTTGGGTCATCCTCATTTAGCTCTTTCAATCAAAACCCTCCACCCTTCACTATCTGTATTCATTCAGTCATTTGCATGAAGTCTCTTGAAGATACTCACCATGGCTGCATTTATTTGATCAAAAATACAGTAAAAACAGTAATACTGTGAAATATTACTACAATTAAAAATAACTGTTTACTATTTTAATACAGTTTAAAGTCCCCATGAAATCAAAATTAAAGTTTTTTTGGGTGTTAGTATCAATATGTTAGTCTTAAGGTTATCTATAAGGCAGTGTTCACCAAAACAGTGACAAAATTCGCATTTAGAAGATATAAACGTTCAAAGCTTTTAGTTCATCACTTCCGCCAAAACGTCTCAATGATTTTTTTGACGTCACATCATACTTCATCTTCTCATCAAATCTTCTGACCAATCAAATGCTCTCTAGAAGCCGACGCGCCCGCCCCCTACACTATAAATAGACGCTGAAGCCGTGGCTGAGATCGGTCGCTTGTTCACAGTGTAGTATTTCCTGTACAGTGAGTGGCACCTGGTGTACAATGTAGGCGATAGGGAACGATTCAGACAGTTAAAATATGCAGATATAAACAATACGCTATTGGCTAATTTAAAAAGGGGGCAGGACTGCTCAATATGTCCCGCCCTGTCTTCCTGTTTCAGTTGAAATTACGTCACCACATAGAATAACGCTGCGTGTTTCAAGGCACTTCAGGGGACCTTTAAAATTTAAAAAGCTGAATTTTCAGCAGTCTACTGTTTTTGTCTTTTTAAAGGAATAGTTCACCCAAAATGTGAAATTTGATGTTTATCTGCTTACCCCCAGGGCATCCAAGATGTAGGTGACTTTGATTCTACAGTAGAACACAAACAAAGGTTTTTTTTACTCAAACTGTTGCAGTCTGTCAGTCATATAATGGAAGTGAATGGGTAAAAAGCTGAATTTTCAGCAGTCTACTGTTTTTGTCTTTTTAAAGGAATAGTTCACCCAAAAATGTGAAATTTGATGTTTATCTGCTTACCCCCAGGGCATCCAAGATGTAGGTGACTTTGATTCTTCAGTAGAACACAAACGAAGGTTTTTTTTTACTCAAATTGTTGCAGTCTGTCAGTCATATAATGGAAGTGAATGGGAATCACGGCTTTAAGAGTCAAAAAAACATACACAAACAAAACCATTAAACCCTGCGGCTCGTGACGATACATTGATGTGTAAAGACACGAAACGATCGGTCTGTGCAAGAAACTGAACAGTATGTATATCGTTTTTTACCTCTGATTTACTGTAATGTTCGAACTGTCCTGAGCGCATCTTGAGCAAGTTCACGTCGTCTTCTTCAGCCGGCTCCTGACGCGTCTTCTTCTTGCTTTACGGCGGATCGCAGACTTATAAGTGCATTACCGCCACCTATCTCTCAAATGGACCATCGACACTCTATCTACAATCTCAATTAGGAGTGTCAATTGTCCATTTGAGAGATAGGTGATCCGCCGTAAAGCAAGAAGAAGAAGACGAGTCACGTGCCTGCTGTCGAGAACGTGCTCAGGACAGTTCAAACAGTTCAGACATTGCGTAAATCAGAGGTAAAAAAACGATATAAATACTGTTCA